AACAGAAACAGAGGAAACAGCAGACAACAGAAACAGAGGAAACAGCAGACAACAGAAACGGAGGAAACAGCAGACAACAGAAACAGAGGAAACTGCAGACAACAGAAACAGAGGAAACAGCAGACAACAGAAACAGAGGAAACAGCAGACAACAGAAACAGAGGAAACAGCAGACAACAGAAACAGAGGAAACAGCAGACGACAGAAACAGAGGAAACAGCAGACAACAGAAACAGAGGAAACAGCAGACAACAGAAACAGAGGAAACAGCAGACAACAGAAACAGAGGAAACAGCAGACAACAGAAACAGAGGAAACAGCAGACAACAGAAACAGAGGAAACAGCAGACAACAGAAACAGAGGAAACAGCAGACAACAGAAACAGAGGAAACAGCAGACGACAGAAACAGAGGAAACAGCAGACAACAGAAACAGAGGAAACAGCAGACAACAGAAACAGAGGAAACAGCAGACAACAGAAACAGAGGAAACAGCAGACAACAGAAACAGAGGAAACAGCAGACAACAGAAACAGAGGAAACAGCAGACAACAGAAACAGAGGAAACAGCAGACAACAGAAACAGAGGAAACAGCAGACAACAGAAACAGAGGAAACAGCAGACAACAGAAACAGAGGAAACAGCAGACAACAGAAACAGAGGAAACAGCAGACAACAGAAACAGAGGAAACAGCAGACAACAGAAACAGAGGAAACAGCAGACAACAGAAACAGAGGAAACAGCAGACAACAGAAACAGAGGAAACAGCAGACAACAGAAACAGAGGAAACAGCAGACAACAGAAACAGAGGAAACAGCAGACACAAGAGATTCCAGCGGTGCGTGGCCTCACCTTCCCCCGTGCTGCTGGCGAGCGCGAGTGACGGCAGCACAAAGGCGAGAAGCGCTGCTGCACGCACGAGCGACGGCAGGTGAGAAAGAGGGGTGGCGGGAGGGAGAGACGAAGACAGGGCAGGCAGGCGGGAAGCAAGGCAGTCAGGAAACGGGCAGGGAAGGAAACAAGGCAGTCAGGAAACGGGCAGGGAGGGAAGTAAGGCAGTCAGGGGAACGAGAGAAGAGAGGGAGGCAGAGAGGGGTGCAGCGACGGGAGAGAAAGGATTACCCGACTGGAGAGAGAACACGCGCACGAAAACAGCACCAGCGAGGGGGGCTAGTGGTACGTTGAAATTTCGGGGATTACCTACGGCAGTGATAGGCGCGGCTCGGGATCTCGAGGAGCGTTGACCATCGCGTTGACTTTCACGGGAATCACTCATCGTGCGTGCCTCAAAACACCCACGAGGTACTATCGGAGGTCACAACAGCAACTCAACAGCGGTAGTAGCGCGGCGCGGCAAGTCGACTCCCTCGAACAAATTACTACTGCGAGGTCTCTTCGAATGAAACCTCAACTCAAGTTGATCACATAAGAAGAGCGACGGTCACAAGTAGTACCTCTAAACTGTGTGACTCCTCTTACGCCCGTCAAGTTGAAACCTCTGAGCTGAAAGTCAGCCGGGTGCTCTTTTGAGGCGCCTAAAAAATCTGCGGCGGCGCGTGCGTTCCTCTACTGAATGAAATCCCGCCAGAATCTCAAATGTCGCTGTCTGGAAGTGGAAATAAGCGACAATCGAGAATGCTCGCAAGGGGTGTACATTCTAGTAATACGTTGCAGGTTCAGTCGAGCTACACGGTACCAGCAGCTTACTTGCGACGAGCATGCGAGCTCCACAGCGAAGGTCGCATGTCGCCGTCGCCACCGTGAGGTCGCATGGCGTCGCATTCTGTCGCAGGAATCCAGAGATGGATTTGCTAGCTCACGGAGCATTGTGACTTGTGCCCGTCCACTGGGAAGGTGAGGGCCGCTCGTCGCACTATGCATTGCACAAGGCGCATACGTGTTCGCAAAATTAGGTTAAAGTATGGTATCACGGAAAACGCCTCCCCAAGCAGCGGTGAGGTCGCTGCGCGCGGCGACCCACCGTTCCAGCTGCACACGGCGGGAATTCTCGAGACGACCCGTAACGCAAAGCGCGCCGGAAATGGTACTCCGAACCGCACTTAGAGGAAGCAGTGGCGTTACTAGTTACTGGTGCTGTAAGTCTAGTACATCTGCAACGCTTCGCCAGCATGTTTCTTGCCTCACGCAAGGCTGTCGCGCCGCGAGGTATGCTGTCGCGACACGCAATTCCAATAAGATCCACAATCCTACCCTCAATACCCAATATGCGGCCGCTAGTCCCGTTTGTGAGACGGAAAATTCCACGTAATAGAGTCAGTACTGTAGCTGTGCGCGTGCTGTTGTGCGAATACTGTGCCGTCATTCACGGATGGTTACATAACTGCCGCTATAGCATCGGTGGATCGATATGACAGCCATACGTTCGGTGGGTTTACGCTACAGTAACGATAGACCAGCCATAGCCTCACTGGAAGTTGCTGGATCGATATGCCAGCCATGATACGCTACAGTAAGATAGAACAGCCATAGGTTCGGTGGGTTTAGATGGATAGGACAAGCACAGGCTTTTGGGATATGAATCTATGCTTGACAGCCATAGCCTCGCTGACAGCCATAGGCGCGCGTCGCTTTCCAGCCTAGCCAGCGATCGCACAACCTCTGCCGCACGAGGCGGGTTGTGTCAGAACTTGTGTCGCAATGGTGAGTGGCGAGATTTGCTCCAAACCCTTGTTTGGGGATTCGTTGCTGCACACGTGGCTACCGTTTGCTCGAGTGGTTCTCATATTCAGTGATAATTGCTCGAGTGGCCTCGCCTGTGGATTCTCAACGTCTTTTTTTTAGAATGAACATTACCCTTCAGGGGTATCTATTCTCGAAACTTCTGTATTGGTTATTGCGCGATCTTTTATATCCGAAATTTATGTTCGTGACCCTATATGACCGCCCCTGATTGGACGCTCATATAATCGACCAATCCTGCGCGGCCATTAATGGTCGCGCGCATCATATTTTAATGCCCGATCATATATTTCCGCAGTTATAAACTGCAATGCCCTTAATGACCACGCATGATTGGTCAATTATATGCGCGGTGCCTTTTTTTGAATTGCGCGTCCAATCAGGCGCGGTCATATAGGGTCACGAACATAGATTTTGGATACTGAAGATCGCGCAGTAACCAGTACAGAAGTTTCGGGGATAGAAACCCGTTTAGGGTAATGTGAAGGGTTAAAAAAAGCCAATGGGAATCCCCTGGCAAGGCCACTCGAGCAATTATCACTGAATTTGAGAACCACGCGAGCAAACGGTGGCCACGTGGGCAACGCTGAATCTTCAAACAAGGGTTTGGAGCAATTCTCTCGTGGGTGGCTCTTGTGCCTCCAGCACCCGTGATGGCGGGCGCATCGCGGGTGCAACGATGTGAAGGATTCTTGTGGTCTGGCGAAATCTCGTTGCAATTCGTTAAGCATGTGGATATAGTATATCCAAAATCTTTTGCCGATATAATATACCTGTAAAGCCCTTGCTGTCAGCTGATCAAACTATTTTCAATCCGCAGTGTTTCCAGCCATTGTCTCTGTATTGTAACATGGGATGAGTTCAGAGGACATGCATAAATAATTGCTTCTTGGTATGTGCCCAAATTTCTGTAGGTTTTCATAAACGGCATTCCTAGGTGTAAAGGTGTCTGGGAGCAAGTACTCAATTATGTGTACAAGTAGGGAAATGATGGCGTTAGTGACTCCAAACATAGTAACGAAGAAGGTGGGAGGAAGCACTGGATACAAGGAGAGGGACCCATGAAGGGAATGGTAATTAACACTGCGCATGGCAAGAATTCTATCCTTGAACCAACTCTACTCTTCTGGAGTCAAAGTTAACTTGTCGTTGACCTTGTTCTTGGTGCCGACTGTGAACTCATGCTCAATGAGTGCAATACCTTCAAATGGATTTTGTGATAAATCATCCACGTTCATTTGTTTCTCAGGCTCCTCTTCCACGTCTGCTTGGAAATCTGATCCGACAAGAGTACGAATGCCATCGTAGTATGTACCAAACCGCGATGGAGCGAACTTTATTCGCTTGCTGATGCGTGTGGCTGCAGCATGCGGCTCTCGGCTTCGGCAGGAACTTACTCCATCATCCTTGACCCACATTCTTCTTCTTTTCCGCTTTGGCTTCTTGTCCTTGTCTTCTTCACTTTTTATGGCTGAGCATCGGTCCATGGGCTGTGAAAGACTAGTAGCGGCGTCCATTATAAGAACCGATGTGAAGCGTGTTGCTCACTCTCTGAACACAGTAAACACGAATGCGAGAAAGTCCGGAAGGCGGGAAGCAAGAAAATCAATGCCAGCTATTTCCGCAAGCTTCTGCTTGAATGTGCTGGAAACAGTGGGATGGGAAAAGCGGGATGACGTATATTCTCTGACGTACGATGGGAAAAGCAGGAACGGCGTATTCTAGGAAGTGAAATGGGAAATGCAGGAATCGCGTATTTTAGGGAGTCAAATGGGAAAGCAGGACTAGCGTATTTCTGAAGTAGAGGAATGAGTGAAAAAACAAGTGACGAGATAGTGGTTCTGTGCGATGGCATGTGCAGTCAGGCCGTGGCTTGTGCTGGGGTCGTTTCGCGAGCGGGGCGAACATACTGACGACTCGTAACACACAAGAACTTGTTTCGTGCAAATGTAATCAGCGGCCAGCAGCAAGGCGAAATCATCGACCCTGCTATCCGACCGTACAGACCTGTCTTTTTTCACCATCAGATTTCGCAGCAACCGAACCAAACCGCAACTTAGCCCATTGAAACTGCACAAATCTCGAGGTTCAAAGAGCCTGCTGTACTTTCACATGATCCTATCCCAAGCACTCAGTTTCTGCATCTTCGTAATTTCTGGGAGGTTATGTTCCTTCTCCGCAGCTCGCAATCCACGACACTAGCCTAAGAGCGTGTATTTGAACCGGTCTTCGTTCCTCTCATCTCGGTCACCGCCGCCGTTTGTTCCAGTCGGTAACGTTCACCGGCGCTGCGAATCATGACGAAGCGCACCCTCGAGCTTGTCGTGCCCGTGGCTCCCCAGCATCGCCTGGACGAGGTGGCCGTGCTGAGCTACCTCAAGCAGCACGTCAGGAACGTGCCGGCGAACACCGACGCGCTGAAGATATCGCAGGCGAGCCATCCATTTTCTTTGTCGAATTCGATTACGCAATTTCTCACAGGAGCTTGTATTAACAATCTAAAATTCTCGAGTGATTTTTCGCCGCGGTGAAAGAACAAGGTATTCGCGTTCCATTCGACTTCCCACCATGATCGTTCGTCCTTCCTGCGCTTCCCATCCAGTCAGATAAGCGCAGTCGTTACCACTGTCTCATGTGTGCATCATTTTCCTCTCCGTCCTCTCTCTTTCTCTCCGCATCGCAGTTCGGCCATGGTCAGTCCAACCCCACTTACCTCCTGGAAGTGTCTTCCGCTCATCATGGCTCCCAGCCCGCCAGATTCGTGCTCCGAAAGAAACCCCCTGGTCACCTGCTCAAGTCCGCCCACGCCGTGGAGCGAGAATTCCAGGTAACCATAACCTGCTGCAGCAATTGATTGTTCACAAAGCTATCACTCCATCAGCTCTCATGCTCCAAAGAAACTGCTGAATCACTTGCTCAAGTTCACGCAGGTCGTGGAGCGAGAATCCCAGGGTAGCAAGAGGCCGAAGTTCTCCTTGTGCTATGCTTTGACCCACCAAGGTTGTGCTTTGAGCGAAACCTTTTCGCGAGGAAATGTGAGGAGGGAAACGAGTCAAAGGTGAAAGCGCAAGTCACGCAGAGTGCCATTAAGCCAAGCATTTGCTTGTCTCTATACCGGTCTCTCTTCCTTGGTACCCCCAAAATGCCTGCTAATCACCACTCAAATTCAACCCACCGGCACTCCCCATCGCCCCAGGTGCTGGCAGCGCTGGGCTCACAGGCTGGAGGGGCAACTGTGCCCGTGCCAGCAGTGCACGCCCTCTGCACCGACCCCTCTGTTATCGGCACGCCCTTTTACATCATGGACTTCGTCCCTGGTCGCATCTTCACCAACCCTCGCCTCCCTGTGAGCCCCTCGCCTCCCTGTGAGCCCCTCGCCTGTTACTGTCAGCTGCATTTCTCCTGGTTTTTGTGCCTTCCCGTATACAGTGGTCATGGTTTCCGACAGTGGTTTAGTTTCACTTGGTTTAATGCTTCCATCTAATAGTGATTGATTTCAGCTCCTGTTTGATCGCTAAGGCACTCTTTCCTTGCTGGATCTCACTTCCGTCCTTCTTCCCCATCCACCCAACCAGGATCTACCACCTGCCGCCCGGACGCAGATCTACACCGCCATGGCCGGCACCCTTGCCGCCCTGCACTCCGCCCGCCTGCCCCAGCTACAAAAAGATGGGTTCGGCCGCCCGGACAGCTACTGCCGGCGGCAAGTGGAGCGGTGGGCAAAGCAGTACGAGGCATCAATGAAATCCATAGGGGAGGAATTTAGGGAGGAGGATGGGAGGATGAGGGGGCTGATTGCGTGGCTGAGGGAGAATGTGCCCGGGGAAGATGCAGAAGCAGAGGGGGTGATGCGAGGCGTGGTGCATGGGGACTTTCGGCTCGATAACCTCGTGTTTCACCCCACTGAGGTGCGGCAAAGCAGTACGAGGCATCAGTGAAATCCATAGGGGAAGAGTTTAGGGAGGAGGATGGGAGAATGAGGGGGCTGATTGCATGGCTGAGTCGGAATGTGCGTGGGGAGGATGCAGCAGCGGAGGGGTTGATGAGGGGCTTGGTGCATGGGGATCTTCGGCTCGATAACCTCGTGTTCCACCCCACTGAGGTGTGCGCACTTGAGTCTTGGCTTATGTCACAAAAGAAAGGAATCAGTGTTTTCTTCTTCTTGCCTGCGTGTGGAGAACCGTGTGTGGCTTGCATTGCTTACTATTAGGGCCCTCTTCTTGTTTTTGCCACCTTGTGCCCACTTTCTCATGCTCGTTGTGGGATTTCTCTGCTTGGTTGGCAGCCGCGAGTGGTGGCAGTACTGGACTGGGAGCTCTCGACCCTGGGAAACCAGATGTCTGACGTCGCGTACTGCTGCCTCGTAAGTGATTAACCTCGAGCCGACTTCTGAGAATTCTCCCGAGTGACTTCCATATAGCCCTGAATCTACTTAGCAACCAGATGTCTGAGGTCGCGTACTGCTTCTTGGTGACTTTGGAAATTAGATGTCCCAGGGGGCGTGCTGCTGTCTGGTAGGTGGTAAATGAGGTTGGCTTGCCACGCGTTCCAAAAAACGATAACTTCACCTGTACCTACCTACCTACCACCTGCTGCTGTCTTGGTATGACTTTTGAGAATTCTCAAAAGTCATACCAACTTCAGCTGTACCTACGTACCTACCACCTGCTGCTGTCTCAGCCATGCCCATGCTTCCCTTTCTCTGCCTGGTGCTCCTCCTTTCACTCAAATTCTCCCGTCTATCTTCTCCCTTCTCCCTTCTCCTTCTCCCTTCTGCCTTCAACCTAGGCCCGCCCATCCCCATGCCCCCAGCCATACCATCTGCCGCCATCTCAGCCTGGGAGCCATGCTGCCATCCCTGGACATCACCCAACTGCCCGTGCGCCTCCCTTCCTTCACACCCAGCTTCTCCCTTCTTCCTTCCTCTCTCCAACACCCCACCCACGCATGCCCCAGCCATACCACCTGCCGCCATCCCAGCCGGGGGCCATGCTGCCATCCCTAGGCATCACCCAACTGCCCGGTGGGCCTCCAGCAGGATCTCTGCCCGGTGGGCCTCCAGCAGGATCCCTGCCCGCTGGCATCCCCTCTGAGGCGCAGTTCGTGCGCGCATACTGCCACGAGATACAGCGCCTGCAGGTGAGCTGGCTGTGCGTGCTCGGTTTTGTGTGTGGCAATGCAGCCATTGCAGCGGGAGGGGAGCCACGCTGCCGTCTCTCTCTCGGCATCACCCAGCTAGCTGCCCGAGGCACCACCAGCAGGATCCCTGCCCTGCCCGCTCGCACCCCCTCCGAGGCACAGTTTGTGCGCGCCTACTGCCACAAGATACAGCGCCTGCAGGTGTGCTGTGCTTGCTCGTGCTTGCTGTATGGGAGGCTGGCTGGCTGCCATGCCTTGCACTGCCGCATGGTATTCCTCTCCCTTCCCTCCGAGGCACAGTCCGTGCATGCTTACTGCGATAAGAGGAGTCAGAGGAGGGAGAGGAGGCAGAGGAGGATGAGGAGGCAGATGGGGCGCAGAGGATTTGAATGTTGTCAATTGATGCTTTTCTGCTCTCGCTCCCTCAAACGGTGCTTTGTGTTATATCGGCCATAGTTACATGCAAATGAGCAAGAACAATCTGACAGCTACATGCTTTTCTGCTCTCGCTCCTTCTGTTTCTGTTGCGTGCAGGGCGTCAGCCTATGGCCCGGTGACACATGGCGCTTCTACGTGGCCCTTTCGCTGTTCCGCGGCGCTGCTATCTTCACGGGGATTTACCAACGAGCACTGCAGGTAGTGCACGGTATTGTAAGCTGTGCAGGCAAAGCACTGCAGGTAGTGCACGGTATTGTAAGCTGTGCAGGCAAAGCACTGCAGGTATTGACGCATGGTAGTACCAACCAAGCATGGCAGGTACTGGAAGTATATGCATGGTACTGCAAGGAGTGTGGCACAGGTGGTGGATTGAGTGCTTGGAGGTGCTCCAGGTAGAGCAGTGCAGGTAGAGCAGTGCAGGTACTGCACGGTCGAGGTGTGGTACGGGTGGTGGAACGAGCGCTGGAAGATACTGCAGGCCCGTGCATATGCTCCCTAGTGCACCAGTGCAGTGCCCTTTTGAGGCGCCTCAAAAGCAGTGCAGTGCCCTGTTACATGCGCACGACTCACCATTCCATCCCCTGCTCTTCTGCCCCCTGCTCTCCCCTCCTTCCTCCTCAGGGCAGGCGGGCTCTCAGGTGGCTGGGCTCATAGCATGCGCCCTGCACTGCACTGCACGTGCTGCACTCTCACTCCCATTCACCTCACACCCTCTTCCCTCATTTCCCTGAGTGACGATGCATATTCCCTCCCTCCCTATCTTCATCCCCCATCAGGGCAATGCATCCTCCAGCAGGGCAGGCCAGGCCGGCCGTCAGGTGGCGGGTCTGATAGCATGCGCCCTGCACGTGGTGCACTCGCCCCCCTCCATTCCTGCCCGACCACCACAAGGCAGCAGCAGCATCAGTGGTTCAAGCGGCGCAGTGGGTATTGCAGGGGGTTGGGATGGATCCAGTGCGGTTCCAGCATCGCCATCCCATCCTGTGGGGCTGGCGCCCAGCCCGCGAGCCGAGGCACTGAGGAGGCGAGTGGCGGAGTTTGTAACGCAAGAGGTGTTGCCTATAGAGGGGATATTGGAGGAACATGCAGTGGGGGAGGCACGGTGGACTATTCACCCCCTGGTGGAGCAACTGAAGGGGAAGGCCAAGCAGGCTGGGCTCTGGAACCTGTGGATTCCCGCTCTGGTGAGTCGACGGCTTGTTACAACACATATGACGTGATGCGGATGCTTGTTTAGGGGATGAAGACAAGACGTGAGAGGTCGCAGAACTGCTGTTGCTCGCACTTGTGCACAATCAGTTGCCTGTTGCATGTTGAACATAGAGTCATAGGCTACGACACTCATGCGTGCAAGGATAGACATCAACCCCCTTCCCCCACTCCACCCCACTTTCCACCGTCCCCTGAACAACTTCAAGGCCTCTCAGACTGCACAACTGACATCAACCCCCTTCAACTCAATTCTTCCTCTCCTTCGCCGCCCTCCGCCCTCCCCCTCCTCCCCCCGCCCTCCCTCCTCCGCCCTCCCCCCTCCGCTCCCTGCCCTCCCTCCTCCGCCCTCCTCCCTCCGCTCCCTGCCCTCCCTCCCCCGCCCTCCCCCTCTCTTATGTCAGGATGCGGGAGTGCCAGTGACGCCTGTCCTTGGGGAGTGTCAGAGCCGGGGGCTGCTGGGGGCGGGGCTGTCGAATCTGGACTATGCGCACGTGTGCAAGGAGATGGGCAAGAGCGTGTGGGCGCCTGAGCTCTTCAACTGCTCTGCGCCCGACACCGGCAACATGGAGGTGGGATGAAGGGTTTGAGGGTGGTAAAATGCGGTACTGCACAGTGGGATGCGGTTTAGTGTGGTGGAATGCGGTTCAGTGCGGTGGGACAGGGTTCTGCTGCTGGGGGCGGGGCTGTCGAATCTGGACTATGCGCACGTGTGCAAGGAGATGGGCAAGAGCGAGTGGGCGCCTGAGCTCTTCAACTGCTCTGCGCCAGACACAGGCAACATGGAGGTGGGATGGGAACTGAGGTGAACCTGCTTTTGGCTTGTTGACCATCTCGATCTGTTATTCCATTGCAACACCCCACTCGTTTCACCTGTCGTAGGCGTGCATCAAACGGTGTCGTGTTGCAACGAGTGAAACGTTATTCTGCTGAGCCAACTGTCCCCTTCCTCCCGCCTACAACCAGGTTCTCTTGCGCTACGGCAACGAGCAGCAGCAGCGGGAGTGGCTGGTGCCTCTGCTGGAGGGCAAGATCCGTTCGTGCTTCGCCATGACAGAGCCACGAGTGGCATCCAGCGATGCCACCAACATCGAGGCTCGGATAGAAAGGTGGGGATAGAAAGGTGGGGATAGAAAGGTGGGGATAGAAAGGTGGGGATAGAGAGGTGGGGATAGAGAGGTGGGGATAGAGAGGTGCAGACACACGTGTCAAGTGTTGGATGGGCAGTTGTGCTTGAGATTTGACTCAAAAAGAAGTGCGGGCAGAGTGTGCACCGTTCAACCTCTTGCTGATTTCCACTGAAACACCCTGTCGTCTTCCTTCCACTTCACCACGCTGTCTTCTTCCCCATACAGTGCGGGCGACCACTACATCCTACACGGCCACAAGTGGTGGGCCAGTGGCGCCAGCGACCCGCGCTGCAAAGTGGCAATCTTCATGGGCAAGCACCCCGAGCGAGCTGCTCCCTCCGGCCCCCACTCCGCGCCCGCACACAGGCAGCAGTCCATGCTGCTCGTGCCCATGAGTGCTCCTGGGGTGACTGTAGTGCGCCCACTGTTGGTGTTTGGATATGATGATGCGCCTCATGGGCACTCGGAGGTGCTGTTTGAGGGGGTTAAGGTGCCCAAGACAAGTGTGCTGCTGGGTGAAGGCCGAGGCTTTGAGATTGCTCAGGTGAGCACGGGAGCCAATAGTTGATTCAGACGCAGCAACTGTTTCAGGTGCTGTACCTGCTTCAGTCGCTTCAGGTGCTTCAGATGCTGTAGCAGAGTTGCTTCAGGTGCTGTAGCAGAGCTGCTTCAGGTGCTTCAGGTGCATCAGGTGCCCGTGCCATCCGCTGCCGGTGTTTGGGAACCCTGCCCCCCCCACCACACACGCACACTATTGACGGTGACTTGCACTGACCCTGAACCCTTTATGCATTACGGGTCGGTTAGGCCCGGGTCGGCTGCACCACTGCATGCGGATGATAGGAGCCACAGAGCGAGCCATGGACTGCATGCTCACCTGTGCCCTTTCCAACCCCATCACGCCTTCCCCCGAATCCATCCCCCCCCCCCCCTGCCCCCCCCCTGTTTCTTGTCCTTCTCCAATCGCTTGCTCTAATCCCTTCATGTGCTACCAGGGTCGTTTAGGCCCGGGTCGGCTGCACCACTGCATGCGGCTCATAGGGGCCACAGAGCGAGCCATGGACTGCATGCTCCAACGCGCACTCTCCCGGGTGGCGTTCGGGCGGCCGCTGGGCGGCAACGAGTCGGTGATGAGGGATACTGCCGAATGCCGCATCACGCTGGAGGCGGCGCGACTGCTGGTGCTGCAGGCGGCTGCTGAGTTAGACGCCAAGGGGAACAAGGAGGCCCGGATCGCTATCGCTATGGCCAAGGTGAGTGAGAGACAGAAGGTCAGAGGGAACAGAGTGCGGTGTTCATGTGCCGCATCACGCTGGAGGCAGCACGGCTTCTGGTGCTGGACGCCAATTGGAACAAGGAGGCACGAATTGCTATTGCCATGCAGCTGCTGGTGCTGCAGGCGGCAGCTGAGCTGGATGTGAGGGCGAACAAGGAGGGCACGGATTGCTATTGCCATGGCTAGAGTGATTGACTGACACTCGTGTTGGAGAGAAGACGGTTATGTGTTGGTGTTGCTGCTTTTGCTGCTGCTGCAGAGTTGGCAAGAATAGCAAAGAGGGGAATGCAGCTGGCTGAGTTGTTGCCGTCGTCGTACCATCGTAATTCCTCCCCTTCCTCTTGTGCTTTGAGACTTCTCAGAACTCGTACCAATTTCTCCGCCCCCCCATTCTTTTCTTGAATTCCTCTCACTATCGCCCCTCCATTTCTGATTCTTCCAGGTGGCTGCCCCCCGGGCAGCTCAAAAAGTTCTGGACAGGGCGATCCAGGTGCACGGGGGTGGGGGGGTGAGCTCGGACTTCCCTCTTGCCCGCCTGTGGACAGCAGCTCGCACTCTGCGCATCGCTGACGGTCCAGATGAGGTGCACCTGGCCTCCATTGGGAAGAAGGAGCTGCGAGATTGGCAGAAGAGGATGATGGGGGGTGGGAGCAGTGGCAGCTCGGGTAATAGTGGAGCGTCAGCCCGCTTGTAGACAACTGGATTTTTTTTTTCGAGTCTACATGGGTTAAGTGGAGTCTGAGGGTGGAAGAGGGGGGGGTGAGCTTGGACGGACTTCCCTCTGGCCCGCCTGTGAGTAGCAGGGCGCACTCTGCACATTGCGGATGGTCCAGATGCGGTGCACTAGCCTCCATTGGGAATGAGGAGCTGCAGGACTGGCAGAGAAGGATGATGAGGGGGGATGGGAGGAGTGGGAGGCCAGGTGGGAATGGGAGTGGAGTTTCAGCGAGGTTGTAATGGGCTCAGTAATCGATTCAATTCACATGTTCCTGTGGGTGTGGGTGTGGGTGTGGGCGTGTGTGTGTGTGTGTGTGTGTGTGTGTGTGTGTGTGTGTGTGTGTGTGGGCGTGTGTGTGTGTGTGTGTGGGCGTGTGTGTGTGTGTGTGTGTGAGGGGGGGGGGTGTGTGGGCGTGTGGTGTGGGTGTGAGTGTGTGTATGGGCGTGTGTGGGTGTGAGTGTGGGTATGGGCGTGTGTGTGTAGGTGTGTGTGTGTGTGTGGGTGTGTGGGTAGCTGGAACAAGGGAAGGGATCAAGGACAGGAAAAGGGCGAGAATGAGGGTAAGGAAGGGAAGAGAACAGGGACAGGAGGAAGGAAGCAGAAGGTATATGGGTTTGCCGACAGTGTGTGTGTGTGTGTGTGTGTGTGTGTGTGTGTGTGTGTGTGTGTGTGTGTGTGTGTGTGTGTGTGTGTATGTGTGTGTGCATGTGTGTGGGGGGGGGGCGTGGATATGGGAGTGGGAGTGGGTGTGTGGGTGAGGATGAGGGTGTGTGTGAATGTGGGTGGATGTGGTGGTGATATTCTTTGAGCTAGGCCTCTAGTAGGTACCATCAACAGATGCCCCCCTATCAACCCATCCTCAATGCTCCGCTAAAACAACCCAAGATCCACAATTTTCTCCAGCAAATCTGTTGTTCAGTTCATTAACGTTCATTAATCACAAACACAATGGACATAGTGTGCTACTTTAGAGGCGCCTCAAAAGTCGTTACAATTGCCCACACCAGATATTTTTTCAGTGCAAGTGTTCTCAAATCACCAAGTACATAAGCCAGAATGTGTGCTAGCGCTATTCACTCGCTGAACAGGTTAGCCTTCCCTAACAATCACATTATTCCCCACTAACTTCGCCTCACAATAACCAATGAGAGATGCATAAACCAACAGCATGCACAGCATGTTCTGCAGTGTCGAACACACTCACTCCTACTGTACCGTACCATACCACATACCTCCAGGTGCAGTGCAGTGAAGGGTCAAGACAAGCCTGTTTGTTACCTCAACGTGTGGAGAGCTTCAGCCCTACATAGAGCCTATCATCGTTGCACACGTACCCATTATTCAGCTCCGCCAGCTTCTTTGCACTATTCTGGAACTTGAGCGATATGATCTGCGCACAGAAGTCCCCCCTCTTCACCGAGTAAGACTTCTCGCTCTGCTGCTTAGACCCCGCCAGCTGGCGGCCCGTCGGTGAGCGAGCCGCGGCCAGCAGCGCCAGCTGGCGGCCCATCGATGAGTGTGTGGAGTGAGAAGGAATGGAGGAGGAGGAGGAGGAGGAGGAGGAGGAGGAGGAGGAGGAGGAGGAGGAGGAGGAGGAGGAGGGAGAGGAGAGGGCCGAGGGGAAGAGCGTGGAAGGAAGCTCACGGACTGAGCGAGGCTTGATTGCGCTGGGGGAACCCGCGAGGTGGGCATCCACACACACCTGTGGTAGTGAGGATGGGTGTGGACGGTGTATCATTGATTGAGTGCTTTCTAGGATGGATGGGTCCATGGTAGTGGGGGGAGGATGGGGTGATTGCGCTGGGGGAACCTGCTTTGCATGCATCCACACCACACACACCTGTGGTAGGGAGGATGGGCGTGGACGGTGTATCATTGAGTGCACTCTAGGATGGATGGTAGTGGGGGGGAGATGGGGTGATTGTGCTGGGGGAACCAGCCTGGTATGTATCCACACACTCCTGTGGTAGGGGGGATGGGTGGGTGTGGAGCACAGAGGGGGTAAGATAGGCGTGCGCGGGGACGATGTGAGAGTGAGGGCAATGGGCCGGGTGTTCAATCGCGGAGGCACAATGTATGCATCCCCACACACCTGCGGTGAGGGCGTGTTCATTCGCGGGTGCATACAATCACTGCTACACAACCCTCACCTGCTACACAACCCTCACCTGCTACACAACCCTCACCTGCTACACAACCCTCACCTGCTACACAACCCTCACCTGCTACACAACCCTCACCTGCTACACAACCCTCACCTGCACACCACCACTACGGGCATCATCACTGCTCTTCACCCAACCAGTCCCTCAGCTTCACCTATTCTAGCCCAAGCCAGCCCCGCTGCCTTAACAGGCGGAAGAGATGTTTTTGCAGCCCACCCCACGGTTGAGTGGGGTATGGGGACTCACCCCCCGGTTGAGTGGGGTATGGAGACTCACCCCCCGGTTGAGTGGGGTATGGCGTCGCAGCGCACCCCCGGGTTGAACGAGAAGAATGGACGGAGAAATCAAACCCCATCCCAACTTCCATTATCACCGCATCCCACTCCTCACCTGCACGCCTTCCCCATCCCAGCCGACGCGAGAGCCTCCGAACGACGGGAAGAGGCGGTCACAGGCCAACCCTGGGTTGAACGAGACGAAGGCGGTTCGGTTGAGAGCGTGATCCTGCATGATGCTTCCACACGTGTCCCCTGCGCGCACCGTGTACCATCGAATGCACATGGGCAGCTTGGGCACGTCGTTCTCTCCGCTGCCCTTCACCACACATAGCTGCCATTCAGGGGAAGGAGAGGAAGGAGGGGACGGTTTGGTTGAGAGAATTGTCTTTTATGATGCTTCCACACGTGTCTCCTGAGCGCACAGTGTGCCATGTGGTGCACATTGGCAGCTTCGGTACGTCCTGCGTCCCGCTGCCCTTCACCACACATAGCTGCGTCGTGGATTGAGAGAGGAAGACGGGGAGCAAGCAGGAGAGCAAGGAATGGGAGCCGGTGGGGAAGGGGGTGGAGAGGAGGAGTGGGAGGATATGTGTCGGCACGTGGAGGGAATAAGGTGGTGTTGTTGAGAGCATGATCCGCTATGATGCCATCACTCACACGTGCCCACCACACCGCACTGCACCGCATCTCACCTGCTGGTTCACGCGCGGAGCTCTCCTGGTGCTATCGCACTTGATCCCCGGGTTGAGAGCCAGAAACTCGTCCACTGTGAGGGAGAACGAGCTTGCCACACCGCCGAGCACCGCACTGCACCGCATCTCACCTGCTGGTTCACGCACGGAGCTCTCCAGGTGCTATCGCACTTGATCCCCGGGTTGAGAGCCAGAAACTCGTCCACTGTGAGGGAGAACGAGCTTGCCACACCGCCGAGCACCGCACTGCACCGCATCTCACCTGCTGGTTCACGCGCGGAGCTCTCCAGGTGCTATCGCAGCTGATCCCCGGGTTGAGAGCCAGAAACTCGTCCACTGTGAGCGAGAACGAGCTTGCCAGGCTGTCACACGTGTCCTGTGCCGTCCACGAGTAGAAGAGCACGCAGTGCACCGCTTCTGTCAGCGGCGGCGCCACGCTCACTGGTGTGTCGTACATGATTGAAACGCACTCTCCTGCGCCCTGTGGTGGGGTGGGGTGGGACCGTGGGGGATGGGGCAAAATCACTTTGGAGAATTCTCAAAAGTGATTTCATCATGGCAGCGCCACGCTCACTGGTGTGTCATACATTATTGAAACACACTTCCCCATGCCCTGTGGGTGGGGTGGGGTGGGACCGTGGGATGGGGCGTGAGTTGCATCACTGGCCAGTTCACGAGTAGTAGACGTGGCAGGCAAGTGCAACATTCTCGCGGAATGAAGGAGACAAGGAACAGAACAGCCCTCCAGCTCTGAAGTGGACCAGGTGCGTCAAAAGTGAGAGCTCACCAGTTGGGAGTTCTGAACGAAAAAAGCCTCATGCGTGCAAGGACGTAGAGATGGTAGACGAGATGAATGCAGGGGAGGAGCAACAAGGTAGCAGCTCAGAAGGGGGAAGGAGTTCAGTTCAGTCGCATCAAAAGGTAAAGCTCACCAGGTTGAGGTCCTGCGCTGAGGAAGGCCTTTTCTGTGGGGCCGTAGAGCTGGTAGACGCACGGAACAAAGGAGGTGAAAAGGGACAGCCCCCCAGCTCTGAAGAGGAATCAGGCACGTTACAAGAGAGAGCTCACCAGTTGCGGGTTCTGTGCAAGAAATTCTTGCTCTGTGAGGCCGTGGATCTGGTAGACGAGCGGGCAGACGATGAAAATCGGGAAGGAGAGATTGACGGTGCGGGTGGTGGCTGCAGATGGGGGAGAGGGGGAAAGGACGGATGGTGGAGAGGTGAAAAAACGGAGGAGGCTGGAGATGAGAAAGGGGGAAGACGAGAGGGTAGTCGATGTCAATCTGGATGTCGAGATTAGAAAAGATGAGACGGTGTGTTGTGTATTAGAAAAGATGTCGAGATTGGACCTAAACCTAATTGAACTTGGGGTGTGTCCAGTTTAAGCTAAGAACTGCGAAATGAACCTAAAATGAACCCTTAGGTGTAACAAATGAACAGAATAACACCATGAGAGCGAGCTCCAGCCTACTCCAACACGGCGTAGGAAGAGGAGGAGAGGCGAGGAAGAGGAGGAGAGGCGATTGAGATGCGAGGAGAACACAAGGGAGAGGAAGGTGCACCCATGGTTCAGGGATGGGATAAATACGATTCGTTGTGGCTCCTAAAAAAACCCCAAAAGGACCAGAGGAGCGGGCCAGTTGAACACATATTGGGACGCATGTGGGAGCGCCTGTCAACGGGAGTGTTGTTTGGCCCCGTCCTCGCTTGGGCGGAGCCGACCTCGTGGTCGGATGTACGGGGGTTGCAGCCGACCTGCAGCAGCGGGCATGGGGGCCACTGCAAGGGCGCCGAGCTGGAGGGCGCCTGGCTGGAAGGCGCCGGGCAAGAGGACGCTGTCCTAGACGCTTGGTCCTCGTCCTGGACGCCTGGTTGGCGTCCTGGTAGGCCAGACGCCGACCTGGGCATCCGCACGGCGTCCTGGGAGCCTGGGACGCCGCCTTGGGCGTCTGCATGGCGTCCCGGGGGCCCGGACGCCGACCTCGGCGTCCTAGGGGCCCGGACGCCGACCTGGGCGTTTGTTCGGCGTCCTGGGAGGCTGGGCGCCGCCCTGGACGTCTGCAACGCACCCTGGGCATCTGGACGCCGGACTGGGGATGCCGGGCATTGGTGGCCGACTACGGACTACGATGGTTGATCAGGTGTGGTTGCCCGGTCGACCGGGATACCCGGGCGACGTGCGCGAGTGTCGCCGGGGTGGAGTCTGTGAGGCTGACCTCGGGGGTGGTATCCCGAGGTCGACGTGGCTGGTGGGCGCAGTCGCTGGCATGGAGTCTGCCAGGTGTCTGCGTTGTGCACGTGACAGGGAAGTGCGCACCAACCAGCTGCACGCACCTGCGAAGCAGGTGCACCGTTGTCTTGCGGGTGCAACGCAGTGCAACCGACTTGTTGCAGCGTTGGCACAACATGGACTTGCAACGTTGGCACACCACTACTCTGCAACGCTGGAGCGGTGCGAGCGCTACTGCGCTGGAGCGCGGTCGACCATGCTGCGCTGGAGGTCGACCAGCAGCCTAGCTAGCTCTGATGTAGTATGTGTTGCCAATGTTGTTGTCACCATTGTTGTCAATCTTTGCTAGTGAAACTCTTGCAAAATATCCCCGTGAATGTGCAAGCAGAGATCACTCAAGCAAACGACGAAGGAACGCAGAGATCACACGAGCACCCGTGCCTAGCTCGCAGCCTAGCTCCCATTGCTAAAGCTATCTCCGTATGGTGCGGTGAGCGTGGACGACACCGCGACGATGTTCAGTCTAGCCGACTTTGCACCAACCGTGTTCGTAGGCCGGCAGCCGTGCAGTCACTAGCGTGCGCGTAGGTGACGCCGAGGTGATGGACACCCTGGAGGCACAGCTGGAGGATGCGAGGAGACGCCACGAGGCCCAGGAGTGCAAGGCAGTCGTCGAGGCAAGACTCCGCTCCGTGTGGGCGGCGGAGCACCCCCCTTCTCGGCCTGCCTCTCCTCGACCGGTGAACAACGACGGCGGCGTCGACGTGGGCATTAACGCCAGTGGAGGTCAGGTCGGCAGCAGTGCGGGAGGCGCGTCAAGGCAACGAGGTGTGACACACGCCGGTGAAGCCGACGGCGTTCGGGCACGAGGGATGCAGTCGTCGGCGGCTGCTAACTCCTCGCAGGGCAACGTCGGAGGGCGTCGAAGCGGATTGTCGCCGATGTCGGCGACCCAGGTGACGGCGGACGGGATTGCACTGAGTTACGGCTACTTCAAGTTTACGCTGGACAGGATCTTGGTCACCCCTCCGCTGTTCGGTCGACCCGACATTCTCACCTGGAAGGTAGCCATCGAGCCCCAGCTGGAAATGGCCAGGCTGATCGGCTTCGCCCGAAGGACCGTGGCGACGCCGGGGGAACACTAATAGAAATGGAGCTCAACTGATTTATTAGGAAAGAAGGGACTAGGCCTTAAGTACAAACGAGGTTGGGATGGGAAAGGCTAGGGAAAAGATGGGATGGGAATCCTAGCAAATCTCCAATTGGTGAGTTGGCAGATTTGCAGGATTACGAGTTAATCCCAACCAGATAGGGTTGGGATCACAAACTACACCCAACCCGCAAATAACCTACGCGATAGGATATAGTATACAAAGTGTTGACAGTCTAATTCTAACACACCCCCTAGGCTGCAACACATCAGCCACAAGGAGGCCCAACACCCATGGCCGAGAGGAGGCGGTAATGATCCTCGCAAACAAGCGACTTGGCAAACAAGTCAGCAAGGTTGCAATCGGAGGCAATGTGTTCAGCCTTCAGCTGCTCGCGCTGCACCAGCTCACGAAGAAAGTAGTGACGGACTTCAATGTGCTTGGTGCGGCCATGGAAAACGGGGTCTTTGGTGAGATGAATGGTGCTCTCGTTGTCACACCAAAGCGTTGGGGTTGGTTGGGGATACCCCAGTTCTGTCAGCAGGAAGGAGAGTCAACGAGCCTCCTGTGCAGCCATGGTCCCGGCATACAGCTCTGCCTCACAGGTCGACAGTGAGACGGAGGACGACCGAGTGGAGCGCCAACTTACAACCCCACTGCCAAGGGTAAAGCAATACCCTTGGGACGAGCGCCGATCACTCTGGTCATCAGCATAGGATGAGTCACTGTACCCCTCAAGGCGAACATGGGAAGTGCCGCCAAGTGTGAGCACATAATCCTGTGTGCCTTTGAGATAGCGAAGAACCCGCTTGGCGGCAGACCAGTGGTGGCGAGTGAAGCGACCAGGTGCAACGTAGCGGGACAGTACACTGACTGGATAGGCTAAGTCTGGTCGAGTGCACATCATCGCGTACATGAGGGATCCCACGAGCTCGGGGTAAGGCTCGTCACAGGGCTCAGGTGAGGGAACGGAGGGTGCAGTGAGTTGGTGTTGCAGAGAGATTGGGGTGGGCATTGATGCTGCTTCCTACATCTGGAACCTTGTCAGAACGTTGTTGATGTAAAACTTCTGCGAAAGGGTGATGGTGCGGGCTGTGCGATCACGTGTGATTTCCATTCCCAAATAGTTCGTCAGCTTCCCAAGGTCCTTCATGGCCAGCTTCTCACCAAGTGCGGTTTTGACTGCTGCCAGCTCAGTCTGATCCTTGGTGACAAGGATCATGTCATCGACATAAACGAGGATGAAGAACCAGGAGGGTGTCGCTCGGATGAAGAGGCTGGGGTCAGAGGTGGATGGGTGAAAGTCGAGGGACCCTAAGGTGCTCTTTAGCTTGTTGTGCCATTCCCGGGGAGCTTGCTTGAGGCCTTACACTGGCCGATTCAACTTCCATACAGTGCCTGGTGGAAAAGGAGCTGGAAATCCTTCGGGCCGCTCCATATAGATTTCCTCTCGAAGGATCCCTTGCAGGAACGCAGAAGACACATCCATGCAGTCAACCTCCATGTCATCTCGAGCAGCGACATCGAGAAGGGTGCGCAGTGTGGGAGGTTTGGCGGTGGGAGAGAATGTCTCAAAGAAGTCCAGTCCACGCTTTTGGGTAAATCCCTTGGCACAGTACCGGGCTTTGAAAACAGGAAATTCGCCTGGAAGTTGTTTCACCAGAAAGACCCATTTTCCCTTCACAATGTTGACGCCGGAGGGAGGAGAGACGTCTGTGAAAGTTCCTGTGTGAATGAAGGCCTCACATTCTGCGACAATGGCCCCCAATCATTGAGCGGCGTGAGGACCAGAGACTGCTTCAACATAGGTGAGAGGTGTGGGGATGGAGGGGTTGTAGGAGAAATTGAGGGTTGGAGAGTCTGCGATGTCTGGAAAGAGGAAGCAGAGTGCGTGGATGGCTGAGTCGATATCAATCAACTCCTCATGTCTGTCTTCAAGGAGGGATGGCATGAGAGAATAATCACCCCCGACAGGAGGAGGATTGAGAGAGACGCGAACGGAGAGGGAGAACGGTTGTGGAGGTGTGCGAGAGCGGGTGCGAGAGCGGGTGCGAGAAGCGATGGGTGAGGGAGGCGGGGCCGGAGTAGGCGTAGCGGAAGGGGGGGTGGGAGTGGGAGGGAGAGTGGAGACAGGATCGGGATCAGGGGTGGGAGCAGGAGGAGGAGGAGGAGCTGGGTGACGGCGTTGGTAGGTTTTGAGAGGAACGGGCTCGGTAGGAGGAGATGCGAGAGGAGATGGAGGAGGGGTAGCGGAGGAGGGAGGGAGCGAGGGAGACTGTGTGGTACTGGAGGGGGAAGCGGGTGATGGGGGATCAGAAATGGTGGAGGGAGCGGGAAGAGGAGGAGATGGAGTGTCGGGAAGAGGGAGACTGTCAAAGTCAGCCCAAGTAAGAGAGGGAGGCGGAGGAAGCCTTGGAGGAGGGGTAGAATGGGTGGGACTCATCAAAGTAAACGTCCCGGCTGCGATAGAGCTTGTTGGTGGAAGGATGGAGGAAGAGATAGTCTGGCGAATCTAAGTTGTGCCCGAGGTATACGCACGTGATCGTTTTGGGAGCAAGTTTGCCGCCAGCCGCACGACGGGCTTGGGAGTTGAGGAGGACATATGAAGTGCACCCCCATACACGAAGAGGGCAGACGGATGGCTTTTGACCCGTCCATAGCTCAGCAGGGGTGGTGTGGGTGTGATGAGGATGGGGATGGAGATTGTGGAGGGCGGCAGCATGAAGCATGGCGTACCCCCAGAGAGAGGGAGGGGCTGAGGCGTGCGTGAGGAGGCAGCGAGCAATCTCCACCAATGTACGGTTCCGACTTTCGGCAATACCGTTCTGTTGGGGACTGTCCGGGAGAGTGAAGGTCTGACAGATACCCTCAGTGGAGCAGAAAGCTTTGAGAGTGTTGTTGCGGAATTCACCGCCACCGTCAGAGTGAAGGACCTTGATGGTGGTTTTGAAGTGTTTGTGAGCCTGCTTCGCCCATTCAATGATGACGCCTCGGGCTTCGGATATGGAGGAGAGGTGGACAGGCACATAGCCGACCCCGACCACCGTTGGGAGATCTCGGCGATGACGGTGAAGGAGGAGTTGGCAAGCTGGAAGGGCCCGGCCGTAAAGGCTGCCATGGAAGAGGAGATCCACAGCCTCATCAACATGGGCACGTGGGAGCTGGTCGAACGTTCGCCGGGGGTGAACATCATGAAGAACCGGTGGGTGCTGACGACGAAGTACCGCATCGACGACACCGTCGAGCGCGAGAAGGCAAGGCTGGTCGTGAAGGGCTTCACGCAGGTGTACGACGCCGACTACGACGAGACGTTCGCGCCGGTAGGCAGCTACGTCACGCTGAGGATCTTCCTCAGCATCGCCGCCGTCCTCAACCTCAACCTGATGAAGCTCGACCGGGTGCTGTACATGTCCCAGCCGGACTACTTCAACGACGGAACCGGCTGGGTGTGCAAGCTGCTGAAGAGCCTGTACGGGCTAAAGCAATCGCCGCTGCTGTGGTACTTGGCGCTCAACGATGTGCTGGTCGGCGCCGCGTGGAAGAAGAGTCAGGTTGACGAGGCTCTGTACTTAAAGATCAGCGACGACGGAGTGGCCTACTGGGTGTTGGTCTACGTCGACAACCTGCTCGCCGCCAGCAGCAGCACCGAGATGCTGAAGGAGTTGAAGGAGCTGCTGGAGTCCGCCTTCAAGCTGCGTGAGATCTCGCCGGTGCAGAAGTACCTCAGGCTGAAGATCGTGCGCGACAGGTCGGCGGGGAAGCTGTGGCTGCATCAGCAAGGCTACGCCAACAAGCTGCGTAGGCGCTTCATCGACGAGGAGCAGACCGGGCGCACCCCGAAGACGCCGGTCTCGGTCGACGCCTACGCCGAGCTCACCTTTGACGACGAGGAGGCACAGGAACGCCAGGAGGAGGAGTACCGCCATGCGAGCACGAGAGGTTACGTGCTCGTCTACGGAGGGGCCGCACTCTCCAGGTCGAGCCAACGCATCAAGTGCGCGACGCTGTCGTCAACCGAATCGGGGTACGTGGCGGCCACCGAAGCCCGCAAGGAGGGACGCCGCCTTCGCTTCCTCCTTACTGAGTTCCGGCAGCTGGATGCCGGGAAGCCGATCGTCCTTCGGGTGGACAACAAGTCGGCCATCACGGTCGCCGAGGGCATGGGGTTGACCGGCAACCTCAAGCACATGGAGCCGCGACAGGCCTGGCTGCAGCACAAGGTGAGGCGCTGGAAGTTCTCGCCGAGGTACATCCCGACCACCGAGCAGCCGGCCGACTTCCTGACGAAGGCGCTTCACTACCCGGCCTTCAACCGGTGCTCCGTCACAATCGGCCAGGTGCGCTTGGTCATCGTGGGCGACGGCGACGACGTCATGCAACAGTAGGTGCCATGCCTTCTTGCATGGCTGGTGCGATGACCAACGTGCTGTGTGTTGGGTGCACGCCGACAGGCTATTCTCGGAGCTGTACTGCCGTGTGGACTGGGGGCCCAAGCGTGAATGCGGCAGGGGAGTGTCAACGAGAGTGTTGTTTGGCCTCGTCCTCGCTTGGGCGGAGCCGACCTCGTGGTCGGATGTACGGGGGTTGCAGCCCACCTGCAGCAGCGGGCACGGGGGCCACTACAAGGGCGCCGGGCTGGAGGGCGCCTGGCTGGAAGGCCCCGGGCAGGAGAACGCCGTCCTGGACGCTTGGTCCTCATCCTGGACGCCTGCTTGGCGTCCTGGAAGGCCAAATGCCGACCTGGGCGTCCGCACGGCGTTCTGGGAGCTTGGGTCGCCGCCCTGGGCGTCTGCACGGCGTCCTGGGGGCCCGGACGCTGACCTAGGCGTCAAGGGGACCCGGACGCCGACCTGGGCGTCCTAGGGGCCTGGACGCCGACCTAGGCGTTTGGTCGGCGTCCTGGGAGGCTGGGCGCCGCCCTGGACGTCTGCAAGGCGTCCTGGGCATCTGGACGCCGGACTGCGGACTGCGATGGTCGATCAGGCGTGGTTGCCCGGTCGACCGGGATACCCGGGCAATGTGCGCGAGTGTCGCCGGGGTGGAGTCTGCGAGGCCGACCTCGAAGGTGGTATACAGAGGTCGACGTGGCTGGTGGGCGCAGTCGCTGGAATGGAGTCTGCCAAGCGTCTGCGCTGTGCACGTGACAGGGAAGTGCGCACGAACCAGCTGCACGCACCTGCGAAGCAGGTGCACCGTTCTCCTGCGGGTGCAACGCTATGCAGCTGACTTGCTGTAGCGTTGGCACAACATGGACTTGCAACGTTGGCGCACCGCTACTCTGCAACGCTGGAGCGGTGCGGGCGCTGCTCCGCTGGAGCGCGGCCGACCATGCTGCGCTGGAGGTCGAACAGCAGCCTAGCTAGCTCTAATGTAGTCTATGTTACCAATGTTGTTGTATAACCATTGTTGTCAATCTTTGCTAGTCAAACTCTTGCAAAATCTCCCCGTGAATGTGCAAGCAGAGAACACACAAACAAACGACAAAGAAACACAGAGATCACACGAGCACCCCTGCCTAGCTCGCAGCCTAGCTCCCGTTGCAAAAGTTATGTCCGCAGCGCCACCCACTTAGGAGCATGAGGAACAAAAGACAAGTGTAGCCGCCCGTTAGATCACTTACTCGGGACGCATGTGGCAGCGCCGTGTCAGAGGTCTACTGGTGATCCCCGATTGATCCTAGGGAAGGGTTACAGGCATGTTGGCCTGGGGGGTTATGGGCGCACTGACCCGCTACTTAATAAGCCCTTTTATCCCAGTGGTTTAGTGGCTGGGATTCTGACATAGTATCAGAGCGAAGGTCTCAGGTTCGAATCCCGGTGTGTGCACTTCGGGCATCCCAGTGCGGGGGGGTGTCAGAGGTCTACTGGTGATCCCCGATTGATCCTAGGGAAGGGTTACAGGCACGTTGGCCTGGGGGGTTATGGACGCACTGACCCGCTACTTAACAAACCCTTTTATCGCAGTGGTCTAGTGGTTGGGATTCTGACACGCCGATGAGGCGACGCCCTTGCTTGAATCCCCACGGACAGATACAAAAGTAATCGCCCTCGTTGTTGTTGGTGCACGTGCTTTTGAGACGTCTAAAAAACAACCTTTTTTCACGTGCTTACTTGGGACGCATGTGGTAGCGCCAGAAGGGCGACGCCCTTGCTTGAATCTGCAGGGTTTTTTTTAGAATTCTCAAGAATTCCCAAGGATTCAAGTTCATAGTGGAGTTGCTGCAACTGAAATTCGTTGGGTTCAAGAATACCCTGCAGTTCATACCCTGAAGCCTGAAGGGATTTAGGTTCATAGTGGAGTAGCTAGCTGCAAGCCTGAAGAGAACATTTAAGCAACTTACTGGGGACGCATGTGAGAGCGCCAGAGGGGCGGCGCCCTTGCTTGAATCCCCACGGACAGATGCAAAAGTAGTCGCCCTCGTTGTTGATGCACGTGCCGACCGCACATGGATTGCTGTCCTGCATGCTGCATGCGTCATCTGCAGGGGGCGAGTGGGGGAGGGGCGGAGGGAGGGGAAGATGGGCAGGTGGGATGGGGAGGGATGGGGGGGAAAGGGGCAGAGGCGAGGGTGTGAGGTTGAGGGAGGAAGAGGTGTTTTAGGCGTGCCTATAGCTAACAGGACAGGAGGGACAGTAGGGTAGGGGAAGGAATGGGGGGAAGTAGGGCAGGCAGGTGATGGTGATGATGGGGGATGGTGATGATGGGGGGTGGTGATGATGGGGGATGATGATGATGGGGGATGGTGATGATGGGGGATGGTAATGATGGAGAGTGGTGATGATGGGGGATGGTGATGATGGGGGGTGGTGATGATGGGGGGTGGTGATGATAGGGAATGGTGATGATGGGGGATGGTGATGATGGGGGATGGTAATGATGGGGGATGATGTCGATGGGGGATGATGACGATGGGGGATGATGCTGATGCAACCCAACCAGCTGCACAGTGCAGTCTCTGACGCACCACTCACTCACCAAACACACAACCACACAATCAGAGGCCACACCCATGCACCGCCATTCACCAACCACACAATCACTCTCGTTTGAGTGCCACTCACCAAACACACACGTCTCGCGGTTGCCTATGTCAAGAGCGGGAATGAAGGGAGGATACAGACACGCGCATGTGTAGCCGTACTCTCCTCCCACTGCACACACAGCTCCCCCACAGGGATTCTGCTCTGACATGCACGGCGTGGGTTCTGGTGTGGGGGGGAAGGGGGGATGGGGTGGGGGAGAGGACTTGTGAGGCGCCTCAAAAGAGCAGGAATGAAGGGAGGATACAGACAAGACACGCGCATGGGTTGCCGTACTCGCCTCCCACCGCACATGTAGCCCCCCCACAGGGATTCTGCTGCAACAGGCATGGCGTGGGTTCTGGCGTGTGGGGGGAGAGGGAGGGGGGTCAAGGGAGGGGGGATGGGATGGGGGAGAGGACTTGTGAGGCGCCTCAAAAGCGCGGATACATGCATGCACGTGCATGTGAGTCGCCGTTTTCTGCGTCCTCACATCACTATACCACCTCCCCCATATTGGAAGGAGGAAGGGAAGGTGGGGATGGTGGGGTGAGGGGTGAGGAGCGCTTCCAGGCACGTGCATGTGAGTCACTGTTTTCTGTGTCCTCACAGGTACCACCTCCCCCGTATTGGTTCTGCAGCGACACGCACAGAGAGGGCGCTGGTGACCGGGGAATGGGGAAAGGGGGGGTGGTGGGTGGTGAGGGGTGAGGAGCGGTTCCAGGCACGTGCATGTGAGTCGCCGTTTTCTGTGTCTTCACATGTGCCGCCCCACATGGACTTGTCTAGACAGGTGGGCTGCTTATGTAGTCACCGCCTCCTATGTCCTCACATGTGCCTTCCCCACATGGATTCTGCTGCGATAGGCACATAGAGGATGCTTGAGTGGGGCGGGAAGGGGAGCGGGAAGGGGAGAGAGAGATGACTTGTGAAGCGCTTTAAAAGAGAAAGTGCGGGCACATGCATGTGTAGCAGCGAGTGCTCAAATCTGGTTTCTGAGATTCGTTTTTTGATATCTGTTTTTTTAGAATTCTTATAAAACATATTCGAACTGCAAACACGTGCATGTGTAGCAGCGAGTGCTGTAATCTCATTGCCAATGCACAACGCATGTGTGCAAGTGCATGTGTGCATGTATGCATGTGTGCATGTGTGCACATGTGCATGTGTGCATGTATGCACGTATGCATGTGTGCATGTATGGATGTGTGCATGTGTGCACGTGTGCATGTGTACACGTGTGCATGTGTGCATGTGTGCACTGCAGATAAGCAAGGTTCGCTCACTCTTAACGATGGGGTAGATGGCCGGCACAGAGTGAATGCCACAGATGCCAATGCCTCCCCCAAAGGCCATTTGCATGTAGCCCTGCACGCAGAGCGAGATGAGAGAGCAATGCGCAGCGAGTAGGGCAGAGAAGGGAAGAGAGGAGGGAAGGCGAGAGGAGGAAAAAGTGATGGAGGAAAGGAGGGAAGAGGGGAGGGAAGATAGAAGGGGAAGAAGGAAGGGAAGAGGGGAGGGAATAGCGGAGGGAAGAGAGAGGGGACAGGCAAAGGCATGCAAAAAACCACAATCGGTTGCGACCTTGCTGGTGAGGCGCCTGCATGCATCCCACGTGCATGCATCCCACGTGCATGCATGCATCACACCTGCATGCATCCCACCTGCATGCATGCATCCCACCTGCATGCCCCAGCCAGCCCCCCAGGGGTTGCGGAGGATCCAGAAGGCGCCCTCAGGCGAGATGCTGCCTGGAATGGATACCGCCGCACTGTGACCCACCACCCCTTTTGACACGTCTCAACAAAACATGCCGTTTATCGCACCTGCATGCCCCAGGTGGCTCCCCAGGAGTTGCGGAGGATCCAGTAGGCGCCCTCAGCCGTGATGCTGTAGCCCATCACCAGCACGCTGTGATCCACCACTCCTGCCGCTGCACACCCTGCGTCGTTGTATATGCCCTGGGGTGGAGGGAGAGGGAGCACGGTGGAGGGAGAGGGAGCACGGTGGAGGGAGAGGGAGCACGGTGGAGGGAGAGAGAAGTGGAGGGGTTGGAAAGGGGAAAGAGGAGGAGAGTGCAATGCATGGTACCTCACTCACGCCACCCCATCACCACCACACCGTGATCCAACACTAATGCTGCTGCACACCCTGCGTCGCTGCATCATCACCCCCGCCCGCCACTGTGCACCATGGGTCGCTGTATGTGCCCTGGGGTGGAGGGAGAGGTGGAGGGAAAGACATGGAAGGGAGAGGTGGAGGGAGAAGAAAAATGGTGAGTGCCGTGCAGTGCAATGCAGTGCAGAGCAGTGCAGTGCAGAGCAGTGCTGTGCAGTGCAGTGCAGTGCAGAGCAGTGCAGTGCAGAGCAGTGCCGTGCAGTGTAGTGCAGTGCAGTGTAGTGCAGTGCAGTGCAATGCCGTGCAGTGCCGTGCAAGCCATGGTAGGTTAACTCTCACCCCTTCGTCACCAGCACGCTGTGATCCACCATCCCTGTTGCTGCACACCCTGCATCACTATTTATGCCCTGAGGGGGGCGGTTCAATGCGGTACCTCTAACACCGCCCCATCAACAGTAGCTGTGATCCAGCAGTGATGAGTCTACTAGAAAATAGGCTCATCATGAGAATCGATTTTTATCTGGATTCTAACAAAAAAAAAACAGAAAATAGGCTCGTCGTGAGCGCAGTGCAATGTGTGGTACTTCTCACACCAACCCCCCCCCTGTCACCAGCACTCTGCATTCCATCACTGCACACCCTGCATCATCGCTGTACATGTCCTGCATCATCATCGCTGTACATGTCCTGCATCATCATCGCTGTACATGTCCTGCATCATCAACGCTGTCTGTACATGCCCTGCATTCATCATCGCTGCATAAAAAAGGTGTTTCCCTTACATCTGTGTACGTCTGGAAGGAGGGGTAGGAGCCTCGCACGAATGCAATGGTGGGCTGAGCCTGCGACAGGGGAGCGGAGAAGGGAAGAGAGAAGACGAGATAAGGACTGGGCGGAGGAGGGGAAACAGCAAAGCAAAAGCTACAGCAGACTCTCGCTGACTGAGCAGTACCAAACTATGTGCACAAATCCAATGCATGCACGCATGTATCCTGCACTGCTGCCCGCCCGCTGCACTGCCACCATCATCGGAACCACTGCAGCAAATCAGCACCCTGTGTGTCTTGTGTACAAGCTTACGTTGACAGCCAGGAGAAGACGCAGCCAGGCATAGAAGATGACTGCTTGTGAAAATCCCATGTGGTAACCGGATTGGACTCATAGGCTTACGTTCACTGCGAGGAGAAGACGCAACCAGCCGTAGAAGATGAGTGCTTGTGAGAATACTGTGTGGTAACGGGATTTGATTTTTAGGCTTACGTTCACTGCGAGCCGCAGACCCAGCCAGCCATAGAAGGTAACTGCTTGTGAAAATACTGTGTGGTAACGGGTTTTGTTTTTCGGGCTTACATTGACAACGAGGAGCAGACCCAGCCAGCCGTAGTAGTCCACCTGGTAATACCCCCTGATGCCTATGGTCGTTGCCTTCTGCTCCGCCTGGGGGGAGAAACAGGGCATGGGCACATGGGCATGAGCATGGGTGTGTGGGCGCGGGTGCGAGCATGGGTGCGAGGGTGGGTTGTACTCGATCAACCAGACTCTACGACGGCACAAGCGGTGCGACGGCACATGTGGTGCGACGGCACATGCGGTGCGACGACACATGCGGTGCTACATACAACACATGTTGTACGACCGTGCAACATTCTGTCATCTTCGTCGAAGCATTTCGGAAAACATTGCCTCAAACAAGGCTTGGACGGGCAAAAGTGCCCCACCCATGAATGGCACTCAACTGCTTTATGATTGACATGGGTGCATGAGCAGGGTGACTTTTGAGTCGACTCAAGTCAAAAGTGCCCCACCCATGAATGGCACCCAACTGCTTTATGATTGACATGGGTGCATGAGCAGGGACGCATGGCAGGAGCACATGGGCATGTGAGCATGGCACAAAAGCACGTGACAAAACTTGAGCAAGGGTACAAGAGCGTGTGACTATCCACGGGCAAACATCGTCCCCGACTGTTCGACCTCCTCAAAGCGTACCTTCCACAGTTGTACCCCCCCCAGGCGTACCTCCCCCAGGCGTACCTCCCCCATCCCAGGCGTACCTCCCCCAGGCGTACCTCCCCCAGCCGTACCTCCCCCAGGCGTACCTCCCCCAGCCGTACCTCCCCCAGCCGTACCTTGGCGTGTTTGCATTTGCCGTTCTTCTGCTTGTACGCGTACCCAGCGTGGGTCGCAAGCCCCCCCCACTCCTGTGTGGCGGCCACCATGTAGTCCAGTGCTGTCGTCGGCCACGCGCCCGCAGCACAGCTGCTGTTCCTGCCTTTCCTGCTGCAGTCCAGTACCTAAAGGGGTGGGGGTTGAGTGGGGGGAGAAAGAAGAGAAGAGCGCGGAGGCAATGAGATGCTGTGAGTGAGTGAGGCTGCCCCCACTGTACTGTAGTGTGGCATGGCATGGCATCCACCGTGTAGTCCAGCTCCTGAGGAGCAACATTACATTGTGGCGGAGGGAACAGCTGGGTGGCAAGCCCCCCCCACTGCGGAGATAAATGCTGCAACGGGAGCTAGACTGCGGGCTAGACACGTGTGCTCGTGTGATCTCTGCGTTCGTTAGTCCTTGGTGGTTTTCCTTGTGCACACACTACTTGCTAGTTCACGGGGAAAGTTGGCAAGAGTTTCACTAGGAAAAGTTCAGAACAATAATACAATGAAGTTGGCATAGCAAGACTACATCAGAGCAAGCATTCAGGTCGGCCAACTGCCAGCGCAGCGCGATCGACCGCGTTCTAGCACGACTTGGTCGACCGTGCTCCAGCAAGGCAAGGTCGATGGTGTGCCAACGTCGCAGGTTGACGGCGTGCCAGCGTTGCTCACGCAGGACAGCAGTGCATCCGCTTCGCAGGTGCACGCAAATGATTGGCGTGCAGTATCTCGTCACCTGCACAGTGCACAACACCACGTCAACCTCGAGCTGACGACTGCCTCTGATCGGCCACGTCGACCTCGGGATACCACCACCGAGGTCGGGCTCGCCAACTTCGCCTGGGCGACCGTCGCACTCCTCCGCAGCACTTCGTCACCCAAGTAACCTGGTCGACCGGGCAACCACGTCGACCAGCAGCTCCGGTACGTGCCCGTCGACCTCCCAAGTCGACGACCACCTCCATCGGTCGACCTCCTCCAGGTCGACGTCCCTTCTGGTCGACCAGCTCCGCGTCGACCAGCACAGTCGTCGGCCGACCACCCACGTCGACCACACGAAGTTGGCGTCACGAAGTTGACGCCCCGCTACTCGACGCCCAGCTGCTCGGCGTCCTGAGTCGACGTCGACGTCGGCCCCTCCTTTGTCGACCACCAGGTCCAGTCGACCACCCACAGGTCGACCAGCGGTCCATCAGCCGACCACCGAAGTCGGCTTCCCCAAGTTGACGTCATCCGCAGGTCGACTCCCAAGTCGACCTCCCCAAAGTCGGCGCCACCCTGAGGTCGGCGCCCGTGCAGTGGTCCTCGTGCAGGTCGACCTCCTCGTCAACCAACTCGCCCACTGCTGTAGGTCGGCTGTTCCCCTCACACTCGACCACGATGTCGGCTCCGCCCAAGCGAGGACGGGGCCAACACACAACTCCTGTTGACACTCCCCTGCCGCGTTCACGCTTGGGTCCCCAGCCCACACGGCAGTACAGCTCCGAGAATAGCCCGTCGGCGACCGTGATAGCCGACTTGTTGTCCACTCGCAGGACAGTCGGCTTCCCGGCGTCCAGCTGCCGGAATTCGGCGAGAAGGAAGCGAAGGCGGCGTCCCTCCTTGCCAGCTTCAGTGGCCGCCACGTACTCCGACTCGGTCGACGACAACGTCGCGCACTTGATGCGCTGGCTCGACCAGGAGACTGCAGCCCCTCCGTAGATGAACACGTAGCCGCCCATGCTCGTCCTGTTCTGCTTGTCACCGGCGTCGTCGGCGTCCACGTAGCCGACCAGCTCCAGCGACTCAGGTCCACCGCCAAATTCCAGGGCGGTGTCACGCGTGTTGGCGAGGTAGGCGAGGCAGCGGTCGATCTCGCGTCAGTGCTGGTCGCTCCTCACCGTGAGGCCGTTCCCCTGCTTGCTGCAGGCGAAGGCGATGTCTGGCCTTGTCGTCGTCGCCGCGAGCTGCAGCGAGCCGACCTTCTGCCGGTACTCCTCCTCTTGCCGTTCTTGCGCCTCCTCGTCATTGAAGGTGAGCTCGGCGTAGGCGCCGACCGAGACCGGCGTCTTCGGGGTGCGCCCTGTCTGCACCTCGTCGATGAAGCGCCTACGCAGCTTGTTGGGCTGAGAAATAGCTCCACTGCGCTCACTGCTGTGATGGCCCATGATGAATCTGGGTTGGGGAGTGAAAAGTGGAGGGGAGGGAGGGGGGAGGAAGGGGCGGAGCGGAGGGAAGGGGGAAGTGGACGGGGAGGGGGAAAAGAGGAGAAGGGCTGAGAGAAGGTTCTTTTGTGAGTAACAACACTGAGTAACGCTGGGGGGAATCCATGGAGGGCGTCGAGTGAGCCACTAACGCGTACGCCATTTCTACCGCGCTCACTGCTGTGATGGCCCATGATGACCCTGGGGTGGGGAGTGAGAGGGGGAGGGGGAGGGGAAGGGAAGAGGGAGGGGAGCGGGAGGTGGATGGATGGGGAGGGGAGGGGAAAAGAGGAGAAGGGCTGAGATATAGTTCCTCATTGCGTCTGCCCGCTCGCTCCCTCGCGCATGCCAGCGCGTGTCCGTTCCGAGGCATCGCGCACGCATTCCACATGGATTCGCCTTTCGAGAGCTCTCGAAAAGCCACTATCGCGTACGCCATTTCCACCGCGCTCACAGCACACCGGTTACCGCACCAGCCATGCAAGAGGGCATGGCACCTACTGCTGCACGTCGTTATCGCCGTCGTCCACGTCGGCCAAGCGCACCTGGCCGATTGCGACGGAGCACCGGTTGAAGGCCGGATAGTGCAGCGCCTTCGTCAGGAAGTCGGCCGGCTGCTCAGCGGTTGGGATGTACTGCAGCGAGAACTTCCTGCGCTTCACCATGTGCTGCAGCCAGGCCTGTCGCCGCTCCATGTGCTTGAGGTTGCCTGTCAGCCCCATGCCCTCGGCGACCGTGATAGCCGACTTGTTCTCCACTCGCAGGACAGTCGGCTTCCCGGCGTCCAGCTGCCGGAATTCGGCGAGAAGGAAGCAAAGGCGGCGTCCCTCCTTGCCAGCTTCAGTGGCCGCCACGTACTCCGACTCGGTCGACGACAACGTCGCGCACTTGATGCGCTGGCTCGACCAGGAGACTGCAGCCCCTCCGTAGACGAACACGTAGCCGCCCGTGCTCGTCCTGTTCTGCTTGTCACCGGCGTCGTCACCGCCATTTGCCTTCGGAGCGCAGCGCGAAAAAGGGCTCGAGGCGAGGGTCCTCGACCCAGTTGCGACCTTTCGTGAAAAGGTCGGTTGCGACCTCCCCCGTCCTCGCGTCATAAAGGGTGCTGATAAACTGGAAGAGCCGGAACGCGTACTTGGGAGCCACGGCCACCGCGGGATTTGCGCTACACCGATACCTCTGGGCTGGTCGTACCGCGGGGGAGGGGGAGGAAGGGTAACGGGAGGGAGAGGGGAGGAAGACGGGTGAACTTCCGAGGCGCCTCAATGGTCGGGATTTGCGCTGTATCGATACCTCTGGGCTGGTACGGGGCCACACGGGGAGGGAGCGAGAGGAAGGGACTTGGCGGTTGCTGCTTTTATGAAACATGATGAGAAGGGCGATTGGACTTTCTAATCGACCCAGAGGTGCATGGGAAGGATGGAGGACGGGGAGGAAAGGGAAGGGAAGGAAAGGGGGGAGGGAGTTGGAGGTTGCTGCGATATCATGATGGGAAGGGCGATTGGCCTCTCTTATCGACTCAGAGGTCGCAACGAAAGGATGGAGGACGGGGAGGAAGGGGAGGAAGGGGGCCGGGGAGCCTGAGTGTTGCCTGGGATGCGCGAGTCGCGATCGGACAAGGGAAGAAAACGGAAGGCAAGGACGGTGGAAGGACGGGCCGACGCATCAACACTGACCTGCGACAGCGACGTTGCCATTCGCGAGCATGCTCAGCGAGAAGCACGGCGACACAAGTTGTGAGTCGACTCAAAAGTCAACTCGACGCAAGACTGACCTGCGACGGCGACGCCGCCACTCGCGAGCAGCGCAGCGAGAAGCACGGCAATCAGCGCCGCGTAGCACGCCGCCTGTCGGGACGCGAAGTCCCCGCGGCGCGAGGCGGCGCGGGGGATTGTCTGCATCGCGTTTGATTTGAGATTTGCAGTGCTCTTGAGCCGCCGCCGCTGCGTGCGCGCAACAAACCGCCGTGGATGCCGCGCTGCGGTTATGCGCACAGAATGTTCACTACTAGTAATCTCGGCGCACTCGATACTAGTCGGCGCTGCTGCCTCGGAGGTGAATTTTGGACCACCTCAATAGTCCCGGACGCAGAAGATTGTGACAATCGACTCGAAAACACACCTGGACGCGGCAAATCTGAGGCGCTTCGAAATCTGAGCCGCCTGGGTGGGGTATCTCGTGACGAGCCTAGAAATATGGGACCGGCGCTTGGATGCAATCTCGTGCTTTAGCCATCATCTTTACCTCCGAGTTACCCACCCTCCGAGTCCCTCTCACACACTCCCCATTGTTACCCACCCTCTCCTCCCCCTCCCCTTCCCCCTGCCCCTCCCCCCGCCCCTACCCCTACCCGACTGCTCCTAGCAGTGTCATTTCATCCATGTGATGGGTGTGTTGGTCACCATCCATTGTCGACAGTCGACACCTCCTAGTATTGATGACCAAGCACGGTGCTTTGCTGGCCTGCTCGTCATCATTGCCAACGTGTACGGCCTCTGCACCGGCAGCTACAACACGTGCGGTAGAAGCGAGGTTATAACGCGTATGGATGCTGTGTGGCATCTGAGCTAGCCTGCTTGTTATCGTTGCCAACGTTGGCTACGACCTACATCGGAGTCGGTATCGTCAGCTACAATAGGTGCGACAGAAACTAAGTCCACAACACGTATGGAGGGGTTTCTGTGGTTTCTGGAGCACCTGCACTGGTCTGCTTGTCACATCATTGCTGATGTTGGCTACGGCCACTGCACCGTTGCACCACATGTTCGTGTTCAATCAAACCCTGGAGCTTCGTCGTGAACACAATTATCAGAAAGCTGCGTGAATGGCTCGAGAGAAGGAAGTGCACATGGCCCTGAATCCTGATTTTCAGGCGTTATTGCTGCC